GTGTGTGTGTGTGTGTAAATGGGTATTATTCTGTGGGGAGGAAATATTTCAATGACAGGTTTCCTAGAAAATGTTCTAGTCACAATGGAGATTTTGTTCAGCTTCTCACCCAGTTGCGTGTGTTTTTTCAGTGGGTGTAATTACATTTTACAGCTCTCTTTATCTCTAATCTCTTTTCATCCAGTGCTTGCACTTAACTTCTCTTTTGCTTTTTGTTTGCTTTTCTCTCAAATGCCAAACAGACAGTGGTAATAAATAAAAAATTACTGACTCTCCCCAGGGGACACATGAAGACAGAAAGAGACGTTTTGCCATTTATACTTTCACTTTAGGCAGGTTCAAGGTGAAATACATAGGATCAGCCGCTGTATTAATCACGTTAGTCTATAGTGTGTAACAGACACAGATGTCAAACATTGAACTTCTACTCACTGGTCCCATATTCATATACTAGCCTCATTTGCCAATTTGACTTTGTTTTTCCATTTTTTTTTTTATCCTATTTTCTTGCAATACTAGTGTCATTGGGATGTGATTTGTTTGTGAGAGAGCTTAAACGAGATATTTGAAAGAGGTGTGAAGAGACCTCCGGGTATTTCCCACCTGAAAACTAACTATCAAAAAAGCAAAAAAAACCTGGTCAAGGTGCCAAAACTGAAAATAACATCTGTCTCAGGGAAATGCATGGCTTTTGGAGGCCTCAGTTGTTAACCTCTGACTTTTGACGAGGACGCAGGCTGGCTTTTCTTGGAAATTCAGGATGTCCGCCTCTGGGAGATTGAGAAAACATGGTCTGGGCTGGGATCCGAGAGATTTATGCTGTGAAAGGGCTTTAATAAATCAGCTGTTGGGCTGTTGGAAAAGTCTACATGCTCAAACTATTGATCTTGAAAAAAAAAAAAACGGATGTTGTTGCAGGGATTTAAAAGGTACTCCAGCCATTTAGTATTTACACCTCCATTACACTACACTGGGGGACTTGCATGATACATAATTAAAAGAGTAAAGTCAAAATAGAAGCAACATAGGCCAAGATATCCTGACTTTTATTTCCTAATATAAGTGAATAAACATTCATAACATCTACTTGTTAAACCCTCCCTTCCTGGTAAGACCCATGTGTTTCAAATTTCACACCACCCACTTTGTAGTCCAAATCCGTGGAAGAAGAATTTGTAGTCTCTAAATGCAAGCTGAGATAACCTTGTTGACATCACTATGACATCATCAGCGTTATCTTTTCAAAACTTTTGGAAAGCTCCCTCCAGAGCCACAAGAAACATTATACAACTGTTTTCTCTGGCTGTTTAGTACTCCTAATCTGTAACACTAAATCCTCATGTGTAAAATCAATGAATCTCTCCCCTTTGCATGTCCACATGTGCATGAAGTGTGCATTTCAGCCTGTGTGTGTATGTGTATAAAAAAAGTGAAAAAAACAATTTCCCCCTAGGGGATCAATAAAGTAGATCTTATCTTCCTCTTCTTCTTCTTCTTTAACTGGTCAAAGTTTACATGGATAGGTAAATACTGGTACTCATTTTACTATGAAGAGGCTGATGGTGTGACTAGAAAAAAAAGAGTAAAAAGTAGTTTTCATTGTATTTAAAGTCTGGGTTACATTTATGTGTGGTTGAACTTAAAATAGACAAACAACTTTTTGTTGAACATCTTTTTTGTTTAGTGTTACTATCCCTGTAAAGGTAAATATTACTTTATTAGTGTAGTATAGATTCTTTGTTGCTTATCAGAATATTGAAGAATCTTTGAATCTTTGACCAGCGGGTCTAGATCACCACCTGACCTTTGATCGGACCGACCAAGGAAGTTGTGTAATGTGCAGCAATTCAAAGAACCACATACTATCTAATTCAATAAAATGATCCTGTCCTCTCAATTCTGTATTCATCCTTCATTGTATCTGGAGTATGTAACGAA